TTTAAAGCTTTATGAGGGTTTTTCAAATAAAGATCATGATTCATGTGTAGAGATAAGTTTTATACATGAAGAATATGATGATCCATTTATTTAGAGATAGAAAACTTACATAAAGGTTTGAGTAACTCATAGATCTCTCCTCTAAAGTGAATGTTCTCACTTATTGTAGATCCCTTAGCTAGATGCCTCCTCTTGTATCTCCATCTTCTTGGTAATGATCTTGCCTTTAAGAATCACCCATAAGCCTCCACGAATGACCTTGGAAAGCTTAACTTATGGAAGCCTCCATAAAATAAGAACAGTACTAACCTTAAAATCTTAGAGAGAGAAAAACTTTTATTGTCTTCTAAAAATTATTGCACAAAGGCGTAACCTAAAATATACATGGACCCCATGTATATATAGGCAAAATAAAAATAATAATTAAAGACAATATATTTTACTCAATCTCTAAAATTCACGTGATATCTCAAATCTAATGAACCTTCAATATCAAGTTGGGCTATGAGTGAGAATCCTTTGGGCTTATTCTTTTCTTGACTATAATGAATTAATAATTGGCCCGATCCATTATACCATGGACCTAATTCAATTAATTCATAAATTAATTTCTACTCTACTATAAGAAATTAATTGAATTCCAATTAAATAATAAATAACTTCTAAGTCAATGTTGCATTTTGACCCCTCTATGCATAATTAGTTATCGGATAAATAAAGCCATCAATCCAACTACTAAATTAATATATTTATTTTGATACCTTTGATTATTTCCGACTTCATCATAATAAAACATTTGTTTGACAAAAATAATAATTTAAATAAATATATATATAATAATTCATTTTGTCTAAAAACACACAAAGGCCTTCGAATTTACTTTGTGATCAACCATAATCAATACAAAATAAATATAAATAGCAATTATGCAAATATTAAAAATGTAACCCTCTAACTATTAATTACATAATTACCCAAAATGTCGGTCTATGGATTTCGAAGAATCCGCTGAACAAATCAAAGTAATTACTAATTAATAAAAGAGTTTACACTTCTCTCATGCTTAAAAGTCAAATGTCGGTCATGATAGTTGAGGACACCAAAATGACCCGGGCTTGGTGTGATCCGCATTGCAGAGGACGGGTCGAGTGTGGACAAACGGGATGGAGCAAGTTCACGCGAGATTGGCCCAAGTCCATAAAGTCATTACAGAAGCCCATGTTAAAATGAGGGAAGTTGAGTCCAAGCAAAGGGGAGCAGATAAGGCCCAAGCCAGAGGAGGTTGCAATCGTCTATAAATAAGGGAAATCGAGAGGGAAAAGGGGTTAGAAAGTATTGGGAGTGAAGAAATTCTCTCTCTGTAAAAGGGGAAAATTCTTTGTACTTTCAATTGGCGCCGTCTGTGGGAAAAACAGGAAGGATTGATTGATGTTATTCGAGATCGGATCGATTCAACGCACTCTGCGAGGAAGACGATTAATCTACGAAAGCTGAATCAACATTGGTGATAATACGATTTGGCTTGACGAGTCCAGGCTCCGGTTAATTTCGAAAAATTGGCGTCCGATCCAAGCAGATCAGATCCGTGCTTGATCAGGCGAACTGCGCAATTGCGATCTGTTGTGATTACTGAATCCGGCCAGTAGCGGACTGAATTCAGCAAGTGTAAGTTCAGATCTGGTGTGCGCGCATTAGCGAAACTCTGATTTGGTCAAGAAGTCTGCAGTTGATGACTTTGCTCCGATCTGGAATGATGATCGGAGAGGCGAACTCAAATCCTTTGGAGAACGGCTAACAGACGAAGCTCGATGAGCTGATGAACATGATCGATGCTTTGAGGAAAGAAAATGCAGAGCTACGAGCTGGAATGGAGCGTCATGAGGCTCCTGCAATTCCGAGGCCACCTCCTGAAGGAGAGGGAGCTTTACCGTCCCAAGTTGATCGTCAAGGTGATCCAGAAAATGTCAATCGTGTTGGTCCACGTCGTGATGAAGTTATAATCGGCAATCTGCCTCCAAATGTCCGTCGAGTAGAGGATCGAAAAGGATCTGTTCATCTGGAACCGCATCACGAACGGATTATGAGGGAGGAAGCACCGGCATATGAACATAGGATTGCGTCACCGTGGCGGAGTGAGTTTGCGGAGGACAGGTCGTTCGATCCGCCATATCGACCTTCATTAGCAACAGTTGATTACCATAGCTCAGAAAGGAGATCTGCCGATTGGGGATTTCTGTCGCGGTTTTCAAGGGAAAACGAAGTATTGCGTTCATCAGCAAGGACGGTCGCGTCTCCGTTCACTAATGAAATTATGAACGCGCCGAATTCGAAGAAGTTTTCCATGCCGGTTTTCATTCTGTTTGATGGAACAACCGATCCGGTCAATCACATATACCATATTCAGTTGAAAATGGCTTTGAATACTAATAATGATCCTTTGATGTGCAAATGTTTCCCTATGAGCTTGGCTGGACCAGCTCTCAATTGGTTCAAAAATCTGGGTCAGGGCTCAATCGCCAGTTTCCAGGACTTATGTGATAAGTTCATAAGCCAGTACTATGGGAATAAATGTCCGGCTAAGGATGTATCAAGCCTTTTCACAATGAAGCAGCATGAGGATGAACGTCTCCAAGCTTTTCTCACCCGGTTCAACCTCGTTAAAAGCATGGTAATGGAGTGTCAGCCGTCCACAGCAGTCCAAGTATTTAAACTCGCAATGAACCGGGGGACGCCGTTCCACACCAGCTTGGTGGTTAATACGCCAAAGACAATGGACGAGCTGAACGAGAGAGCTAACGGTTTCGTTCGTCTTGAGGAGGAAGAAGCAGCTAATTCGAGGAAGACGTCAATTATTTCGACTGAGGAGAAGTCTAAAGCCAAGATCCGGCAAAAACAAGCCCAACCGCAATGTCAACCCTCATGGAAGGCGGAGAAGAAGCCCAGGGAAGAGGAATCAGTCACTCCACTCAGAGTCACCTTAGCAAGGCTATACCAAGAGAACAAAGATAAGTTTCGTCCTCCTCTGCCAATCAGGCAACCTCTTGAACAGAGGGATCAGACTAAACATTGTGCTTTCCATAGTGCTTAACGAATGCAGGAACCTAAAGAGGCAGGTAGAGATGCTAATCGCAAATGGGGAATTTGCAAGCTATGTTCAAGGTCTGGAGCAAGAGCAGAACCGCCCGACTGAGCAAATCAAGTGGAACCAGAGGCCGAACCAACACAACTCTTAGCCTGTCCGGATTATAAATGCAATTCATGGCCGGCCTGAATAAACGACGGAGTCAGAAGAGTTGCTCAGAACGAGGTTACGCCAGGCCCAGCTGAAAAGAAGAATTGGCAGTGTGCATGCTTTACACCAGCAGAATACGTCCACATCGATAAAGTTTGATAAAACGAACCTGCTACGCGTTCAGATTCCTCATGAAGATCCACTAGTCGTCAGTCTGACGGTTGCAGAATGCCTGGTTCGGAGAGTCCTGATTGATCCAGGAAGTAGTGCGAATGTCATGCCCAGGGTGACGTTCGACCGACTGGAGATCGAACCTGAAAAACTCAAATCCACAGGAAATCTGTTGCTCGGATTTGATGGGAAGTGAGTGGAACCCATTGGAATGGTAAAATTGACAGTACAAGCTGCTGAGCGAGTTTTGACTGAAAGTTTTGTGGTCGTATAAATTCATCCATCCTACAACCTCCGATGGGCAGAGGATGGATTCACAGAGTTCAGGGCGTCCCATCAACCTTGCATCAAGTGATGCGATGTTTGGGTCCGGATGGGACCAAGGTGATAGACATACACGGGGACCAGGTTGCGGCTAAAGAATGTTATTCAGTAACTTTGAAATCTGCTGGAAAAGGAAAAAATCCCATCCATTCTGCCAGTCCAAAATAGCAATTACAGAACCCTCCTCCCAGCAGGGATGGGGAGGAGGAGCCACCAGTTCTGACCACAGAACCCCTTCATGAAGTGAAGATTGACCATGAGAAACCAGACCGAACAACAAGGGTGGGAACCAGACTCACTGAAGAGGAGAAACTAGAGTTGACTGATTTCTTGACTCGGAATGCGGATGTATTCGGATGGAGCCATTCAGATATGCCAGGGATAAATCCTGCTGTATCCTGTCATTCCCTCAATGTGGATCCGAATACAAAGCCAGTGAAGCAGAAGCAGAAAAGATTTGCTCCAGAACGAAATAAGATTATAGCTAAGGAGGTTGATCGGCTGTTTGAAGCCGGATTCTTCAGAGAAGTTCAATACCCGGCCTGGCTCTCTAACGTTGTTGTAGTGCAGAAGAAGAATGGGAAATGGAGAGTGTGTATCGACTTCACTAATTTGAATAAAGCCTGCCCAAAGGATAGTTTCCCATTGCCTAGGATTGATCAAATAGTAGATGCCACCACAGGATATGAGCGGTTAACCTTCCTGGATACTTATTCCGGTTATAATCAAATTCCCATGGATCCAATTGATGAAGAGAAAACCCCGTTTGTTACTGAATGAGGGACTTATTACTACAAAGTCATGCCGTTCGGATTAAAAAACGCTGGAGCTACTTATCAGAGGCTGATCAGCAAGATTTTTAAGGGCCAAATGGGAAGCACTGTCGAGGCTTCTATTGATGATATGGTGGTCAAGAGTAAGAAGAAGAGCGATCATTTAGCGCACCTGCAAGATGTGTTCGATGTGTTGCGCCAGCATGGGATGAAGTCCGGCCAAATGCTCATTCGGCGTAAGCTCCGGTCAATTTCTGGGACATGTGGTCAATCATAGAGGAATTGAGACCAGCCCAGCGCAGGCAGAAGCCTTGATCAGAAATGCAGAGCCAAAGACAATTAAGGAGGTGCAAGCACTCACAGGTCGGATAGCTGCACTGAGCTGATTTATTTCCAAGCTTTCGGACCGCTGTAAACCTTTCTTTGATACAATTCGAGGGCACGGAAGGCAAACCTGGGGGGATAAGCAATGACAGGCGCTAACCAGCCTGAAGGAGTATATGCGTAATCCTCCGGTTCTGTCTGCTCCAGAGCCGAATGAGAAACTCTTTCTGTATCTTGGGGTATCCAGTATAGCAACTAGTACCGTTCTGATCCGTTGCAAAGAGGGCAAGCAGTTCCCGGTGTTTTATGTTAGCAAAACAATGTCTGAACCGGAAAGAAGGTACTCTAGGGCCGAACGAATGATCTTGTCGCTGGTCAACGCAAAAAGGAAGCTTAGACATTACTTTGAATCTCATCCAATCGTTGTTTTAACAACTTTCCCTTTGAGAATAATCCTGCACAAACCGGACCTATCGGGGAGAATGACCAAGTGGGCCATTGAATTGAGTTCATTTGATATTGCATACGAGCCCAGGACGGCAATCAAAGGTCAAGTGGTGGCGGATTTCCTACTTGAATGTGATGCTAAAGATGTGGTGGAGGATTATAGTTGTTCCTGGTGGAAGCTCTTTGTAGACAGCTCCTCGAATCAAATGGGGGCCGGGATTGGAATTCAATTGCGAACACCAAAAGGAACTACGCTGAGCCAAGCGATAAGACTAGAGTTCAACGCAACCAACAATGAAGCAGAATACGAGGCGTTGATAGCTGGGCTGAAGTTGGCTAAAGAACTGAAGATCAAGTATCTGATTGCTTATAGTGATTCACAACTAGTCATTCGACAAGTCAATGGGGACTATGGGGCCAAGGATAAGACCATGGAAGCATACCAAACTGCGGTTCTGCGTGAGGCGAAAGGCTTTGATCAGATCAGGTTTATCTAATTGCCGAGAGAGTATAACGAAGATGCCGACCGCTTGGCTTGTAGTGCGTCCAGTTCTGGAGATACTTTGGCTAGGGTCATCCTGGTCGACATACTGATCCAACCTTCCCTTTTTGAAGAGCTGCCTAATCCGACCACTCAACATGTTAATGTTATACCATATGAGCCGAGCTGGATTGATCCAATCATGGCTTTCATACGTAATGGTGCACTCCCCGAGCATAAGGACGAGCCAAGAAAAATTAGGTCCAACGCGGCAAAGTATGCCATTGTGCATGATCAGTTGTATAGACGCTCCTTCTCGGGTCCATATTTGAAGTGTGCTACCCCAGCAGAAGCTAGACAGATTATGCGAACCATTCACGAGGGAGTATGCGAAAATCATTCAGGAGGAAGATCTTTAGCACACAAAGCAATGACACAGGGGTACTTCTAGCCAAACATGGCATGAGATGCAGAAGAATTCTTTAGAAGATGCGATAAATGCCAGAGGTTTGGGTCATTGATACATCAACCACCTGAAGACCTGCACGTAATGGCCACCCCATGGCCTTTCGCGTAGTAGGAGATGGACGTGGTTGGCCCTTTGCCGACTGCAAGATCGCAGAATAAGTATGTTCTGCTAGCAACTGATTACTTTACCAAATGGGTAGAAGCAGAGCCGGACCCTAATGTCACCCAAACTCAAGTAAGACGCTTCATCTGGAATAATATTATCTATCATTTTGGCGTACCAAGGTCAATCGTGATGGATAATGGAACCAACCTCGACAGCAAGCAAGTGAAAGAGCTGCTTGAAGAATATGGAATCAACCAGAAGTTAGCAGCAGTCAGTCATCCCCAGGCTAATGGTCAAGCCGAAATCACAAACAGGACAATATTTGCTTGTATTAATAAAAAGCTGGAGAATGAAAAAAGCAAATGGTTAGATGAGCTTCCGAACGTCTTGTGGGCTTACAGAACAACCCCAAGATGGCCAACTGGACGCCCATTCGCTATGGCCTATGGCACCGAGGCGGTGATACCAGTCGAGCACTTGGTTCCAACTGTAAGGAGCTTGGTGTGGGATCAAGAGTAGAATGATAGAATGCTGAGGTTTAATCTTAATTTGCTGGAGGAAAAAAGGGATGCGGCTGCAGTGAGGCTTGCCTCTTATCAACAGACGCTTGTGAATAGCCATAACAAGAAGGTGAGGCACAGGGATTTCGCTATTGGCGATCTGGTTCTGAAAAGGGAGGTGGAAATAGTCAAAAAGATGTTCTCCCTATGGGAAGGTCCATACAGAATAGCAGAGGTCATAGGGAAGGGGGCATACGTCCTAGAAACTATAACAGGAAGGGTGGTTAATAAGCCATGGAATACTACGTCTCTGAAAAGGTACTACCAGTAAAAGTAGAGTTTAATTTCAAGCAATATGCATGCTCTAAATTGCATGCTTGCAAGTGTACGAAATTTTCAAGCTTTATAAAAAGTCTCTTCTTTGTTAAAAATTTAATTGACACTCTTTCCATTCAGCAAAGTTTGTGGCAGCTGGCTAAAGCCGAACGCCAAACACTTGCTCAAAAATAAAGCCAAGTGGCAAGAGACGTTCAAGCCGAACGCCAGGCATTCAGCAAAGTTAGTGGCAGCTGGCTAAAGCCGAATGCCAAACACTTGCTCAAAAATAAAGCCAAGTGGCAAGAGACGTTCAAGCCAAGCGCCAGGCATTCAGCAAAGTTAGTGGTAGCTGGCACTTAAAGCCGAACGCCAAACACTTGCTCAAAAATAAAGCCAAGTGGCAAGAGGCATTCAAGCCGAGCGCCAGGCATTCAGCAAAGTTAGTGGCAGCTGGTTAAAGCCGAACACCAAACACTTGCTCAAAAATAAAGCCAAGTGGTAAGAGGCGTTCAAGCCGAGTGCCAGACATTCAGCAAAGTTAGTGGTAGCTGGCTAAAGCCGAACGCCAAACACTTGCTAAAAAATAAAGCCAAGTGGCAAGAGGCGTTCAAGCCGAGCGCCAGACATTCAGCAAAGTTAGTGGGAGCTGGCACTTAAAGCCGAACGCCAAACACTTGCTCAAAAATAAGTAAGAAAAGGACAGAATGGTGACAAGGCCGAACGTTAAGTACTTGTAAAAATACATTGCAAAGCTGAAAATAGAAAACTCGAAGGAGGGAAGTGGTGCTGAGCAAAAGCATTATCATTCATTACCAAAAAGGCCCCAAGGTACATAGCACGATACATGAAGATTTTTTTTAAAAAAAAAAAAAGAAAAAGAAAAAAAAAAAACTGCTACTGGCTGTCAGTTTTGATAATCTTCTCCAGGCTGTAACCTGTCATTCTCGCCACCATCATCCTCTAGACCATTGAGGTCTTCTCCATTCTCATCTGCCCTATCATCCTTAGAATGGGAGTCAAGATGAATCACTCCCTCGGCAGGCATAGGTCTGTCAGCAGTAACTGAGGAGGAGGGTACAATGGTAGAAAGGGGAAGAATGTTCAGGGGATGAAAGGGTGGGACAATACTTGAGGATGCGACCTTTATACACTCAATAAAAATATTCTCAGCCGGGTCGCAGGGTGGGTTTGATAATTATTTGGGGGGTGGATGTCCAGAGAAGCATCTAATTCATCTGGACCAGCACAAGAGTTTGATTCACCTTCAGGGGGAGAACAGTCAATAAAATCGTCTCTGTACCCTTCAGCATACCGGATGGCACTGGTCCTGGTAAAGCGAGCAAAGAGAGCTTTCATACCCCCTTCGACTTTACCGATCATGTTCATCAAGGAAGACCGTTTGTTTAAGAGCTTTTCCTGAGAGTTCGCATGAGACAACCGTTCAACAATGAATGAGCGCTAAAGGTCTCCCTTTTCAGCTTTGAGAGAGTCCCTTTCTGTTAGAGCCACACTCTTCTCAGTTTTCAAGATATCAACCTCATCATGAAGAGAATCCCCGTTCGGTCCTCAGGGAATTCCGTTCAACTCTGAGGGAATCCCTCTCATTTGCCAGACTGTCTCTCTCTACCTTTAAGTCAGCAACTCCCTTCTCTGACTCGCTCAGCTTAAACTCCAGCTCAGCAACTTTAGCCTCAAGAAGATTCTCTGCTTCAACAGACCTTTTAAGGCCCACAGAGAGTCTTTTAAGCTTTTTGTTCAGAGTTTCAATGGTTTTTTGAAAAATGAACATCCCGAATAAAGTCTGCATGAAGAAAAAGAAATTCAGGTCAGACTAGCTACTAAGGAGTCATAACAGAAAAGAAACACATTTCAGTGAAAAGAAGAGTCACCTCTATAGCAGCGGTTGGGAACCATTGGAACATCTCACCAAAGGATAGCTTGTTCTGGATTTCAAGGTCTTTGGGGGTCCAGAAACCCTTGTAGAAAGCAAAGGAGGTGAGGGGGTCCTTGTATATTGAGTCAGTGGGGCCAATGGTTGATCCATCTTCATAGCTGACCAAAGGTCGCCATGGAAGAACGGATGGAATCGGACCAGAGGTTCTGGCCGATTCGCCTTCAGGAATGAAGAACTGGGCAGGGGGCAATGGTTCAGTAACCCTGAAGGAAGCCGTCCTGATCCTTCGGGTCAGTGGGATATCACTCTGATCATGACCGCCCTCAGGCATTGGCCTTTTTCCTAAACTCTTTTCTGACAGACCAGCATTAGCTGGCCCTCCATTGTCTTCAGAATTCCCAGCATCCTGAGTGCTCTCTGAGGAAGTATCGGACGAGATGTTTGAAGGCATAATGACGGGAGCAACAGGACGAATTTCAGCAGTATGGCCCACAGTAGGGTTCTCAACATGGGTGAGCTCAGAGGGCTCATCAGCAGAACGGTTTGAGACTTGAATCATAGCTGGAGCAATCGCAACTTGCTTTGGGGCAGAGATAGCAAGGAAAGACGATGTGAAAGCAGGTGTAGATGATGATGATGTGATAGCAGGACCGTTAGAAGGGGTGGGAGCAGGACGCCTCCTCCTGCTGAACGATGGGATCTGAATGTTCTCCATTGTAGACCCTAAAAGAGAGATGTCAGAGAGATTATCAGATATAAGCAAATCAGTAGCTGAAGGGACATTGTTCAACACACTTTCTTGTAAGGTGTCTAGCCTAGCCCTGCAGACGCTATAAACTAGTTCATCATGGGGGATTTGAAGGCATCTACAAAGAAAAGTGCAAAAACGGGGAAAACAACTTTCACAGTGGCATTCAGCAGGATGTGTTTTCAGCTTTTTGTAGCCAGAGACAGAACATGCTCCAAAGGAATAAGGGATAGAGAAGGATTGGCCGAGCGGAGTCTGCCAATTCCTACCAACCACGATTAAATTTCGTCTCCAACCTTTTTCAAATGAGTTCTTATCAGTGCAGATCGACCGTTTGTCAATAGGGAAGAAGTGATAGTACAAGTCATTTTGTGAAATCTTATTAATCTGATAACAGAGGAGAAGGTCAATAATGTCAAGATTGAGACCCCTATCACGATTCAAGAACAGGAGGACTGAAATTATCCTAAGAAAGTTTGGGTTAACTTGTAGGGGGCAGAGCCCCAATTTGTTGAAAGCATAACAAAATAACGGGTGTAAGGGGAACCTAATGACGTTCAAGTGAACGGCGGAGAATAAAACTTCCCCAGGAAGAAGACCCTCACCAGATCTCTCGTCTAAGTTTATTGGATAGACTCTGAGAGAAACGTCGCGAGGAATGTAATTCTTGGATCGAATGGCGTTCAGGTTGGGGGGAGCCATAGATAAGGGGAAGAGTCCTAGGCAGTAAAGGCGTCTTTTAAGGAGAGATTTAAAAAAAAAAAAAAACTGACCTTGAAAGTTTGTGATGAACTCAGCAACGGCACACTAGCTAAAAATTGAAAAGGAAGGACTTGCCAGAGAAATTGAAAAGGATCGCCGGAATGTGCAGGAAAGCAGCAAATAGTAGAAGCGAGAGGTAAGAGGAAGGGTGAAGGTTGAAAGACCGGAACTTATAAAAAGGAAAAGTAAAGGCGACATGGAACTCAAAAGGTCGAGGCAAAAAGTGGCGCTGCAGATCTCGAAGCTTGGGTTTTTGTGCCAGCTGTTCGATTCCTCGTGTCATTGTTCCGAGCTGTCAGACCAAGATCGTGTCTTTTCAATAATCTCACCCTCATTAATGAGGAAAGAGATTATTGGGGGCAAATGAGGACACCAAAATGACCCGGGCTTGGTATGATCCGCATTGCAGAGGACGGGTCGGGTGTGGACAAACGGGATAGAGCAAGTTCGCGCGGGATGGGCCCAGGTCCATAAAGTCATTACAGAAGCCCATGTTAAAATGAGAGAAGTTAAGTCCAGGCAAAGGGGAGCAGATAAGGCCCAAGCCAGAGGAGGTTGTAACCGTCTATAAATAAAGGAAATCGAGAGGGAAAAAGGGGTTAGAAAGTATTGGGAGTGAAGAAATTCTCTCTCTGTAAAAGGAGGAAATTCTTTG